ATCATGGATGATCTGCAAATATTTCTGAACTGATATCGATATAGTACCTCATAGGGTAGTGCTAACCTCTTGCTAGCTCTAGAGAGAGGGGGGACAGACTCCGGCGATGGTGGTCAAGTACCTATACCAACTTGGAAGTACTAGGAGGTCACCGGTTACCGGCTCGATCGAGAGTGGTTATGTTTCTTCTCTGCGGGTAAACTACCTTCACAGTAGTCTTACTCTGCCACTACTATTTCTCCTCACTATGGCTATTGCAACTAGATATTACCTAGTGAGAAGTGAAGACTGCCACTATCATGCTTGAATTGGAGGTATGGACTCAGATGGATGAGCAGATCGGCAAGAGCATTGAGAGACAGTTCCCTCCCTGTCGAACGAACCGGTGGGATCGCTTCCGCTCAGTAAGCTCAAAGCTACCTACCCAACCCTCTCACAACGCGCGCATATCCTGCGTGGGCCGTTGTCTCATCGCTATCTCCAAAGAGGAGCTTTACCCCTGAGATACTGCGTTCTGCGTCCTGGCTACTGATGAGCAAAGTGGGTTGAGCCATCATCAACTCGCCAATAAAGCTTCTGCGATGATCTGGCTCATAGTCAAGTGAGGTTCAGCTACAGCACATCCCTGGAGGGCGTGGAAAGGCTTTCAATACTCCGCCACACTATAGAATCAAGAACCCAGACAACCTTGGGGAGAGGCTTGCTGTCCCTCCCCGTCTTCCTCCTCCTGGACTGCTGTTGACCCTGATCTTCCCTTCCCGTGCGCCATCGGCTGCCTGCAGGAAGGAATTCTTTATCTCACTTGTCACTGCCTTGTGCGTCGCACAGATCCCGGGTCAACACGAGCTGCCTAGGATCAGTCACTGAGTAACGGTGATTCCTGGCTTTGTACCGTACTTCTGTACTTTCCTCCCTGCCAACTTCCCATGGACTGATCCTGGACCCTAGCAATCCCCGGCTGCAGCCTGCAATGACATTTTGATCCAGGGTGTGTATGTGCACCTGTGTACAAGGATGAAAGGGACAGCACGTCACTATCCTTTGTTCGGATCAAGATCTTGATTCAATTGTGATTGAGGTAGCTGAGCAACCAGGACAATCTAGCTCCATTGCATGCCACCACTGGTTGTGATGCGCTTCTCGGCTCTGTACCCTTGTCCCTCCTTTGCCTGTCTCATATCTCCATACCCAGTGCCGACCAAAATTGTGCCCTGGTTTGGCGACATCGTCGTTAAGACCCCGCCATGTATAGGCCAGCTTACTGGTGGACTACCTAGTGCGAATCACATTTCCCACTGACTGGTTCAAGGTCTCTGTATGGCGCCAATATGTCTCAGTTCTGAGAGGACTATCGGACAAAGACCGTCCATGACTAGCTGCTCTGAACTCTGAGTTGAGACACCCCTACCTACCCTTTAGGTCTATCTCAGGGGATTGAAGAACTGGGTTGAGACTCCTGGGCTCTGGGATCTCTAAGGGGACGGAGAGATGAGAGAAAGAGACAATATGGCGTGGCATTCTTCGCATAAGGAGTATCTCCAGGGGATCCGACCGAGGCAATAGAGATTCTTGTGTGCGGCATGGTCTCATAGTCGGCGACTGCCAGTCCTTGAGTCGGCGACTGATTGTCTCCAGCCACTGCCCAGAGGCGACTGCTAGCCCACACAGAGAGGAGTGTTCATCTCATTGGTGCGAATGGCAGTGCACAACCAAAGCGATGTCACAGATGGAGGATCAGAGCCATGTTCGAGTGTAACTAAGCCTACAAGATGATGCTTCAGCATGTGTGCTTGCGACAAGAATCTCACAGTGGTTTCTAATCTCAACAACAAGCGTTATATCAAAGCCTTGATCTGTTACTGCGTACACATCCTGGCCGTCACGATCAACTACTTCGCCAGATCAGGCCATGTTCCTGATCAGGTGGAACAAACGAGACCAACCATTTGCATAACTATACCTTCAGGTTTTTACCACCAAGCTCCAACCCAAGCCCGTATAGTGTATAGCAAGCCTCTTGTGGAAAGAAAACGCAACAAAGCAGCCAAGAGAAACCAACCCGACGATATTCCCAGTTTGTAGCATAAGGTACTGAGCAGTCGAACCAAGTCCAACTCAGTGTCCTTTAGTCATAGTAATCTGAAGTTGACTAACTATTACCTACACGAACTATACGACAAGTTAGACGCTCGCCAAATCCACCAGTCAACTACTCAACCTTGAACCCTGCTTACATAGTACTTACTTACCAAACCATAAATCAAATCACATATTACTCAGAGAAAATAAAAACACCCTATACCTATAGCTAACAAGTTACTCAATAACCAAAACCAAAACTAAATAAGTGCTAAGGAAGCAACCAGACAAAAAAAAGCCCGCCTACAAGTAAAGAGTAGATTATAGACTAAGAGCGAAGAAAAAAAAAGATATATATAGTATCATCTATGGGTCCCCCCTCCGAGGTCCCCTCCGTCCCCATCCTTTTTTTTTTCTTTTCCGATATCAATTCGCTACCGGCCAAACCGTTTCCCCGCCACCCACACAATACGAGCTGCTGCCCCCCCCCTCCTCCCCCAAATTTTTCCCGAGCTTAGGAGCTTGGGGGAAGGACACCAAGGGTTTTGAGAGGTGAAGTGTGTGCTTGTGTGCTTGGGGATTTATCCTGTTTGGGGAAATCGTGGGTGTGTTGTAGGTGGGATGCTCGTTTACCCCGTATACATTATTTAGATTTGCGGTGGTGGGTTGTGGGCCCTTACTCTGGGATTGTTGAATTTGAGGGGAGTGGATTTTTGACTCAGTAGTAGGTAGGTAAACTAGTGTTGGGAGAGGGCGCCGTGCCTGCCTGCCTGCCTGCCTGCCGGTGGACTTGCGCGCGGGCCGTGGAGGACCTACCGGTTAATCAAGCGATGGGGACTAAATTCACCCAAGCTTGTTTCTTGCACGTTGGGGCCTTATCTTCTACCGTGGGAGTAGGAAAATCACAAGGGGATGATGTTTGGGATAGCGGTTATTACTGAGATAAGTTGTGAAGTGGGATGTGTGTATGAAAACACATGAAATATACTGTAGTCGGTCAGCTGATCTGTCATGTTAATGTGTTCCTGACATCCTCCATCCTACATCAATACGTCCAATGATGTCTCACTTGCAGCTCTCTACGCACACATGAATCCCTGAACCCCGAGACAAACAGCCTGTCATGCTGGGTTCATCATTATTTGCAACTGGTTTTGGCTAAATGACATGGGGGTAGGTAGGCATTAACACAAGTAACGTGCGCCGACAGTGCAACAAAGAAGGGGAAAAAAGGGAACCACCACCACCACCCCCCTAGCTAATCAACAACCATCCTATCATCCAAATGGAAAACTCCCCCCTCCAAGTCCCCCTCGACGTCACACTGTGCTGGCCAAAGCGTATCCTGCGTCCGGGCCGATTGTCCATGACCAACCAAGCTGGAGCCCAATGCAGGTCCTTTGCGCTGGCCGGAATTGCCAGAAACATGGCCAGTCAGCGTCACACTTGGGCCGTTTCCTCTGAGATCGACACCCTGTTGGCTGTGTGGACTAAACTGGAGAAAGACTGGGATGTTTTTTTACGGGTCTTGGCCAGAAATGGGATCGCTGATAACACACCACACGCCAGTCCAGCATAGCGTCACCGGTTTTGGTAGCATGTCTCACTCAACTCGCCACGGGGCTGCAAGCTGGTGGGACTGAGGCAGAGACTTTTTCATTTCGATGCTATCTATCCGAAAATTCTTGTTCGAAGGCAGGGTCCTGCAATCAAGGAAATTCAATCTCGCAGGAGGGCTGGCTGCTAGTCAAAAGATAGTGGCGCTCTGCTCGACGGACCGGTTGTTATAGCAGAGAGGAAACAATCTGCCCCAGAATCGATACGCTCCCCGATTCACCTCTTTCACGGAGACCAACCATCGAGCGAAGCTGTTCTCGGTTCGGCTGGGATTGGTGCTCCGTAGATGAGTGACCTAAACCCCCATGTTAGAGGGGATGTGGCAATGGGCCAGTCGGGAGACAGCAGCTCACCCCCGCATGGGTCGGACTTACTTCATGGTATCTCTGTAGAGCATGCCAGTACCGCATCGGCAGCCCAAACCTCTTCGTAACCGTCTCCTTCTTGATCCTCACTAAGGCTTTCAAGTACAATGAGGAGAGCGTTTCACGGGGCAGGTAGATGTGGTCGCCAACGGCAACCCTGCCGGGAAACTTCCAGCCGTGGCGCTCATATATAACCTCGATGAGTCGCGTCAATGTGTCTGCCTGCCATGTCGCCAAGAGCTCGCGGTTGAATGCTTTCACGTGCACTTCCAGGTTCATCAGATCGTGTCGGAGTCGGTGGGTGTTCGTTCGTAGCTTGCCGATCTTATGAATCAGCATCTCATTGGTCGTTTCCAGGGTGCGGAGAGTCGAAGAGTATCTCTGAAGGTAGAAAGAACGGTTCAGTTTCATGTTTTATCTGAGGTTTCCTCAATATCTCAAGTTCAACTGAGCTGACGAACCCTCGGTGACACGTTGGCGGTATTGCTGTCAGGTTGAGTTGAATCTGGTGACTGGAGGTGAGACCGGTAGAAGGACATGCCAGGCCCGTATCGCAGGACAAGCTCAGCGTTCATTGTGACACTTCAGTCACAGAATGTTGGAAGAGCTAGAGACTAGAGGATCAATGAGTGGCTTTTTGGTATGAAAGATAAAGCCGTGGTGCTAACTAAGTAACGATGGCACGGTATGTACTGCTGTTGTGAAGGACCAGGTGCTGGTAAACACACTGTCGACTGTTGACTGTGCAACAGCGCAGCAACAGTGTTTCAACACAGGGAAAGGGCGACCTGCCTGTTTACCAGAATTTACTGCGTGGCCCCGGAAGAAGTGACCCAAGAAATGCGCGCACAGTCAACCATTGCTACATAACTACCTCTGTGAGTTGTGTTCCTTGCGACCTAGAGTATATCACTGATAGTTGGCGCTCAGCGTAACAGCTCATAGTTTGCTTCCCGACGCCTTGCCGAATTCGAAGACCAGCTTGCCGAATTGTTTGCCCTCCTTCATGTCCTGGAAAAGATCATCCAGTGCCGGAATATCGCCCAAGTCGCTTTGAACTACTCGCGAGACAACAGGATGGATCTTTTGGCTCCTCACAAACTCGACCATCTCTTTGAACTCTTTGCGCGAGCCCATCGTAGACCCACGCACCTCAATATTCTTCAGCACCGCTTGCATCAAGAAAGGCATTTTGGGAGCGACCGTCATTCCATAGACCGAGAGGATGCCGCCAGCCTGCATCAATCAGTATTCTCTTCGAGCAGGCAGCAACGGGGCGCAGCCCACCTTGAGTAGCTTGACAGCCTTTTCGACTGCATCGCCTCCAGCACCGTCGATGACCGCATCGAAAGCCGTCTTTCCGGGGGGGAGCTGACCCAGCAGCTTTTTCTCCCATCCTTCCTCCTTATAACTCACACCACCCTTGGCGCCCAGCTCAACTGCCTTCTTGATCTTCTCCTCGCTCGAGCTGGTCACATACACGTCGACTCCCCTGGCCACCGCAAATCGCAGAACCATGAGAGCCACCCCACCTCCGATCCCCGTTACCAGAATGGCAGCCCCCTTGCCCGAATTCCTCTCGCCAACCTTGACCACCAACGCCCGCCACCCGGTCAACCCCGTCAAAGGAAGCGCCGCGGCCTCTGCATCCGATAGATGTTCCGGCGCCTCCTCAACCTCGGACTCCTCGATAGCCACATATTCTTGCAGCGTCCCCTTGTTGTACAGTTTCGTTCCGCCCATGATCCGATACCCCTTGGGATCTTCCGGGCCATCAGGCGAGCTGTCCCAGCCCACCCCGGGATTCAGGATTACTCGTTTCCCCTGCCAGCGCTGCGGGTTAGCGACATCGGGACCCGCCGCGACCACCGTGCCCACCCCGTCGGCACCCAGGGGGACATCGAACGTGACTCCCGGGTACAGATGCTGGCGTAGGAAGACATCGCGGTGGTTGAGCGAGGCCGCGGTCAGCTTGATGAGTAACTCGCGGCCCTGTGGGGTAGGGAGGGCCTGTGCCTGCACGGAGAGGGGATAGTAGACTTGGCCCGGTTTGCCTTCTGTTTTAGTCAGGAAGACGGCCTTGGACATTTTGACGCAGTTGAAGTCTCTCGTAGTTAGAGGATATGTAATTGTGATGGAATTGGGGTAAGGGAGGGTGTTCAGCATACAGGGGGAGTGGGAAGATGAAAGGGCGGACCCAGCTTTAGTTATTTATCAGTGCGGGGGAGCTTTGGATTTGTTATCAAGTGCCGAGGATGTCCTTAAATCCGATCGTCACTAGAGCTGGGAGTATATGCTCTGACTGAGCATTCTTGATGTAGAGAAATCACCAATTGCTATCATACTCTGATTTAGGAGCATCTTTTCGTTTCTAGGTAGCAGGTATAGCATATCGAGAGACATCCTGACATTCAAAGTTCAATGCCATGGGAAGTCGTGTCGACCCTGCAATTGGAACCGAGGACGGATTATTATATCAGCCTCAACACCAAAATATGAGACGTTTTCACCTGTCTCAGCGACTGACGATGGAGAGTTTCCATACACGTGACATAACCGCTCATGTTGCAGCCATACCATCGCTTTATCCATCTCACTAAGAGTATAATGCTGCTGCTGGCGATACAACCACTATACCCTCGGTGCCTCAGGCTGCATCACCGGTGGTGTAATCAGATTACCGGCACCAGTATCGTACCGGTATGGTATCTGAGCGGCGGAGGCAAACATTCCACACAGGCAAACATCAACGGAATTACATTTTGCAGTTGCAGTGTGAGGGAAATATTGATCACCTCGACGACAACGTTGAAACGGAGTATTTTCCTCCTGTGTCTGCTGGAGCTTTTGGCGGGTGGTGGGAAGTATTCATTCTATACGGGTTTGGGACTTTTGAAGATGGGTGGGGAGTGTTATGGAGTGGCCTTGATCTATACTTCACACCTTGGTATATATATATATGGCAAAGGTAGCAGAAGCATTGCGAAGTTAAAGATGAGTATGATGGGGAGGATGTTTGAAGAGTAAAGCTCCCGATTTCTGCACTGCTCAGAAGTAGACCCCAATGCGAGCAACCTATAGGATAGATCGGCTGTGACATGTCAGTTTCAACTTCAATGCGATCGAGCATGGAGCATCTGGCTGTTGGTAATGTTCCGGCGAGATGTGATTGAGATTTTCCCGCCAGAGGCCCCGGATAATGACATGCCCGACCTCGGGCAACCGAGCTCCAATGAAGGGTACTGTACCATAGTCACGATATATATGCCACCGTCTTGCGAGCTCTTTTACTAGGTACGAGTATGTATGTACTCGTGAGCTTTCGATCTACACGTGTATAAATCGCTAAGCAAAAGACCCAGAAACGTCAAACAATAACAACCAACCACCGAAGCCAAGCCACTGATCAAGGTGTATCCAAACTCCAGCCATGAGAACAAAACCCGGATATCACATCAACCTCTCGACCGCCAGACTAAGGTTTAAGGTATACTGTAAATCAAGTATATCTGCACAAATCGGTCCAGTGCACAGTACAAGAGCAACAATCCAGCCAAGCAAGCAATAAAAGTATACTCCCAAGCGGCTCGGTGGGAAAAGCGACAGAAATTACTTAAACCGGGCAAGTGACCAAACCTTAAGGGCGATTGAATTTCCGCTGTAACCGGCCGAGCTTTCCTTTTTTTTTTGGCCTGTGCATTATTCTTGATGGGTAGAGAAGAGTGCTTGGTGATGGATGGATGGATGGATGGATTGATTGATTGATTGATTGATTCCGTGGTGGCTGATGCTGGCCGGACTCGGGGCTGCTGTTTGTGCTGTTGCTGTTGCTATTTGCGTTTCTGCATGAAGCCAAAGCAAACGAGGCAGCTTTGCCTCAAATTTAAGGACTATGTAGCTATATGCATACCCGTAGACACGGAGAACTACACATCTATTCCGCCAGCCTATTCTTTTTTTGGGGGCTCATTAGTGGGAAGGTATAGTACGCAGAAAAAAAGGGACAAAAAAAAAAAAAAAAAGCGACACGTCGAGGAAGAAGCTGAAGGCGTTTGCGGCTGGTGTGTGTGGGCCAGTCAACGTCAGGGCGTGGTCTTAAGGAAGATGGAGTTGGCTGGGGAAGAGGTCGGGCCACGCACCCGATTCTGGAGGTCGAGCTTTCTAGTAGTACTGCAGGTACTGCAGTTGTAAACAGTGATCGTCTTTATTCTTCGATCCGCGTGGAATACACATAATAGTTTTTAAGTACAGAGATTGTGCTTGCACAGGATGCATTGTGCATGGGGGGTCACCACAGTGGTCACCACCGTGGTCATCATAGTGGTCTACCCAGGCTTTGTCTGTGAGCGGCACTGTGTGTTATGAGTAGGGGCCTGACTACTAGGAGTGTAGTGTGTAATAATGAGTGAATGAATGGATTGCCATCAATTATTCAGGTAAGGTCGAGAATTTACCCTTACTGATGAGGTAATGTACTTCGATTGACTCGAGGGTGGCTGGTAGTTAACTTGACTTAACTTATGGGGGAAAAAGGCGAGAAAAGCGACGAAACACGAAAACAGTCCCCCTTATTGCCACATCCCACCGCTCATTCGCCGCTCAGCCCTTGGCTCATTTTTCTCACTCTTGAACTTCCCAAACTTGCCCAGGAACTGATCCTTTCGATCTTCTGATCTCGAACTCGAACTTCGTTCATCCCGTCTGCTGCTGCTGCTGCTGCTCCGAACCTGCAATTCCTCCCACAACCCTTTTTCGCTCTACACAATTCTGTCGCCGTCTCGATCAACTTGGGCCTGGTAAGTCTCTCTCTCTCTCTCCTGCTCTTTCTCCACCATCCAAACCTCGTTTGCCTCCCTCCGCTCCCTCCCCCCCCCCGTCTTCGTCCCTCGGGTTCGTTGGCTGATCGATTCTCTCTTCTCTCCACACAACCAAACAGCTTTGCGTCCTTGTTTCCTACCAAACACATCCCTCTAAAAATTTTCGAAACCAACGCGTTCGCCTCACCTCTGACCGTCGACCTTTCCCTCGATTTGTCTTTCATCTGATCTGCTGGACTCGGCCTTGTCTTTCCCGTCTCAACCAGCTATCCTTTTCTTCCATAATGCCTACGCCACTTCCCTCTAGTTTTGCCTCAGCCGCCGCCGGCAACATCCACGACTCTTCCAACCGCAGAGGAGATGGAGCTCCCGGTGGAGAATGGTATGCCTGCCCCGTTCCTTGCCCAACACCTTGTCGCGCGTCCGTCTCCTCGTTTGCCAGCAGCCCCATCCAAAAATCCGGCCGGGGACCTCCTAGTTTTGTGGTGGAACAAGAAAAACTGACAACTCATTCCTACTTCCGCTGTGGATGCACAGGTCTCGCACTCGCATGAACGGAGCAACACAGACCTTCCGCCGCCCCTCAGTCGCGACGAACCCGTCGCATAACCGGGATACGAGTCAACCGAACTCGGCCACCACTCCCACCGTCGGCACCTACACTCCCCCGCATATGTCCTCGAACTACCAGTCCAGCGCACTCCGGAACGGTGCCACCACGGAAACTCGTTATTCCAAGGACCTGCTGCTAAATCTCTATAAGAACCAACGGGACACCGGCTCGCTGGGGAAGAATGTCGCAGAGTACTTCGTCGCCGACTGGAATCCCCACTCCTCCGAAACCTCCCCCGTCAATGGAGCATGGGGCAAGCGCGAAGATTCCAAGGACAATCCGTCCGGTCCGGAGGTCTGCTGGGATCATGGGGGCCATGTCGAGCCGCTGGGTCTCGTGGAACCGACGGACGACGAGAAAGAGGTGTGTCTTTCTTACGTGTTATACCCCGCCACATCACCTATAGACTATTTTCAACTTATGTCGGGGCATCTTTGCTAAATTATCCAGTTGTTTACCTCTTCCGTCAACTCTCCGCTCAAGCCGCCACCCACGAACGCCTCGAAAGAGAACACCGCTACCGGCGCGGGAGGTCGCAAGCTGTCCATTTCCCAGGGTCATATGAACAACTACAACACCTCCTCTCCCAGCGCTGGACGTCCCGGTCCCCGGCGTCGGGAGACGGCCGATTCGCCCGCGAATCCAATGTCTCCTACCACCAGTGGCTCTCGCTTCTTCCGTGACGAACCGACCACGTCCACCCCGCCACCCTCCCTGCTGCGCCGCAAGACCGACTTCCGCGATACTTCCTCTTCCACTGCTCGGTGGGAGGAGAAGGAAAAGGAGAATCTGGGTAAGGAGCCTGGTGCAGATGTCGCGTCTCCGTTTGGCTCGCTGAAGCGGAGCTCCACCAATCCGTTGAGCGTGGCGCCAGGTGGGCCAAGCTCGCCTTGGGCGGCCGCCTCGCAAAATGCCAGTAATTCACCGATGGGTGCGTTCGGATCCTTTTCTCTTGGACCGGGAACGAGCACCACCCCCACCACGGAGAAGAAGGCTGGGTTTGGCAGTCTCCGTGGAGAAAGTCGCCTCAAGGGACTCTTCTCCAAGGATAGCTCCGAGGACATGGCGGCGGCGGCTCTCAAGGAGAAATCGTCTCTTAGCAGCCTGGAGCGCTTTGCTGATGTGGAGGGTGAGAAGCGCGCGCAGTCCCCTTGGGGCGAGCCTGTCAAGACCCGCACTGGTCGCAGTGAGACGAACCCATTCCAGGAGGAGCTTCGCAGTGGCAGCGCGGCGCTTGGGGGCTCTCAAGAGATCAATCCCCAGCCTCAGCCCCCGTCCGACCATTTGGGCTTTGCGGCGTTTGGCATGACCTCGAGCATCCCCGGATTTCGGGAACTGATGCAAAGCCACGAAAATTCCCGGAACCCTACCCCGAGTCTTCTGCAGGGACACGAGCCTACTAGCCCGACCAATACGAACCCCTACCAGAGCCCCCACGGCGACCGACACGAGGTGGATGATGTCGAAACCGACGGATCCGATATTCAAAACACCACCCACCCCGGTATCACTGGCCTGCGGGATACCTCCTCCGCTTTCGGCTCCATCCGACGTGTCGGCTCGGGCATGGACCTGCCGTCCATTGACCGCAGCCAAACGTCGAGTGCAGCTGGAAACAGAAGCTTTTCAAGCCTGGGCGGCCTAGGTGGTCTCCCTCCCATTGGAGGCGCTGCTGGATGGCCTACGAGCGCTGCCGTTGGTACCCCCACGCGCGAACGATCTGCGTTTGCGGGCGGCTTCGGTGACCCGATCTTTGGGACCATGGGTGACCTGCAGTCTCCAAGCTTGTCGACGCTGGGAGGAAGTGGTCTGTTCAGCCCTCATGCTGGGATCACTGGAACGGGCAGTCTGGGTCGCTCGAGCAAACTAGGCTCGCTCTTCCCCCCTGCCATGCAAGAGCAGATGCAGGGTGACCAGATCCGGCCCGATCTCGGGGCTTTGGACGAGGCTGCCCGGCAATCTGGGGAGATCTTCGACGGACTTTTGGCGGATCAGGGCCCACTGACGCACGGAGCAGATCTACAGCCTATCGATAAGACTATGCAGGGCGGCCAGCCAGCCACTTCGACCTCTCAGACTCCTGTGTCTGCTGTCGGCTCTGGTCCGGGCTCCATGGTTCCTGATGCGCCGCAACCCAGCCAGACCCCCGGAAATTCTGGGTCTGTCCCCCCGGCGCAGCAACGGACCATGGTGATGCCTGACCGCATGCGCTGGATCTACCGTGACCCGCAGGGTAACATTCAAGGCCCATGGACTGGACTCGAGATGCATGACTGGTTCAAGGCCGGATTTTTCAGCCCAGACCTGCAGATCAAGAAGCTCGAGGACCCCGAATTTGAGCCGTTGGCACAGCTGGTTCGTCGCATCGGCAATTCTCGCGAACCGTTCCTGGTACCCCAAATCGGCATTCCTCACGGCCCTGACCCTGCCCCCGGACCCTGGACTGGCAACACGAGTGGCACGGCGCAGCCTCCCTTCCCTGGCAGCTTCCCCAGCTTTGGTACCACCCTGACCGCCGAGCAGCAAAACGCTTTGGAACGTCGCAAACAGGAGGAGCAGTACCTGATGGCCCGCCAGAAAGAACACCTGGCTCAGCAGCAGGCTCTGATGAAGCAGATGCAATTCCAGGGCGTTCCCCACTCCATCCACCCTCATCAGCTTCAGCACCATTCCAGTGCTCACAGCCTCCACAGCCAGCCTAGCTTTGGTAGCATCGCTTCTCCGGTTGGCTTCCAGCCCTCACCGATCCAGGCGCCGATGCAGCAACAGCAGCAGCAGCAGTCCCAGCAGCAACCTCCGTCCGTTGCCGGCTTCTTTGATGCAGCTGCCGCCATGCGAGGCAACCCTCTGCCCAACGTGGGTCCTCAGATGCTCGGCACGGATCTTGGGCAGGATCAACTTCCTACTCTTCTGGACCGCTTGAACATGAGCCGACCGGATCCGTTTGCCTTTGGTACCCCCGGCTCTTTCGCTGCTCGCCAGCCGGACAGCCTGTTCCACCAGCAGCAGGTCGCTTCGATGCTCCAGGATCGGGCCCGTCTGCAGCAGGAGCAAGAGCAGTTCGATAGTACCCAGGGCGATGCTCTCTTCGACCAACAGGCACGCGAGGAGCGCCTTCGTCAGTTTCATGCCTTGAGGGCACAGGAAGCCGAACTCGGTATGCAGACTGTCGAGGGTCTTCCCACGCACCCGGCCGAGTCCGTCCAGTCTCAGATCCCCGAGGAGAGTACTGAGTTCGATACCGTTGAAGCCGCCCCCCAGGAGCCTCCGCTCACTCTGTCTCAGCAAGTCCAGAAGGCTGCTACCGCCCAACGCCAGCAGCTGGAGCAACAGGAACAGCAGGAACAGCAGCAACGCGAGCAGCAGCAACTGGAACAACCGCAGGCGGGCTCCGTCACCGAGGCTGCTTGGATGAGCAAGGGCGATAGCGCCATGCCCCAGCCCTTCCCTCCGCCGCCCTCTGCCTCCCCTCTGCCGGCCCCTGCCGCTCAGCGCAACCGCCAGAATGTGGCCGAATCCCTGGCTGCCAACTCTCGCTCCCAGACGCAGACCCCGGTCGAGGCGCCCACCACCTCCATTGCGCCGTGGGCGAAGGAAGCTAACGAGGTCCCCAAGGGTCCTTCTCTGAAGGAGATCCAGGAGGCTGAAGCTCGGAACGCCGCTCAGAAGGAGGAAATCGCCGCTGCCGCTCGTCGTGCTCAGATGCTTGCGGAGCAGGAGCGCCTCAGCCAGGCGGCTCAGGTGCAAGCGCCTGGCCTGCCGTCGACTGCCAACTGGGCGAGCGCCGGATCCCCGTCCACCCCGACTTCCGCGGGTTCCGTCTGGAACAACAAGGGCCCCGCCGCTCCATCGGCTGCTGCCAAGAAGACTTTGGCTCAGATCCAGAAGGAAGAAGAGGCTCGTAAGCAGCGTCTTGCCGCTGCGGCCGCTGCGGCGCAGACTGCTGCTGCCAGCCCTCCTACTGCTCCCTCGTCTACTGGTAAGCGTTACGCTGATCTGGCCAGCAAGGCTCCCGCGCCGTCTCCTGTGAACACGGCTGCGTCTTCGGGCGCATGGACCACCGTCGGTGCCGGCGGCAAGGCCAAGGCCCCTCCTGCTGCTCCTTCGGGACCGCGTGCGACCACCGGCGTTGTGCCTGTGGCCGTTTCGCCGGTGAAGCCTAAGCCCGCTACAGTTGCCACTCCTCGCACCGTGTCTGTGGGCCCTACGCCGGCCACCAACCCTAACCGGGCGGTTGAAGAGTTCACCAAGTGGGCCAAGTTGGCGCTCGGCAAGGGCCTGAACAGCAACATCAATGGTAAGTGTTTTTTTCCCCTAGGGCTTCATTGAGCTGGAGCTAATTGCAATGATGTAGTGGACGACTTTGTGCAGCAGTTGCTGTTCCTGCCGGCGGAGGCGGAGATCATCTCGGATTCGGTGTATGCCAACTCGCAGACTCTGGATGGACGGCGGTTCGCGGAGGAGTTTATCCGTCGGCGCAAGCTGGCGGACAAGGGGATTGTGGACCCGGTGGCGGCGAGTGCGTTTGCGGAGTCGAAGAACGCGGGCGGGTGGAGCGAGGTGGCCAAGAAGGGGTCGTCGAATGCGCACCGGGAGGAGGATGCCAGCAATGCGGCGTTCAAGGTGGTTGCTCCGCGTAAGAAGGGGAAGCGGTAGATTGTGGGTGTCAGGTTATTTGGATGCAGGATGGTGATGGTGTATCTTATCAGGATCTATACCGCATAGCATAGATCGGGAGCTTATCTATCATGTGATATCCGCGCCCTTCGATTACATGCCCCGCTATGTGTCATTGACGACTCGAGAGGAGGTAGTATAAGTACATCTACTCAAGTACATGCATGGTACAAGTCCTCCGTAACATCCCAGCGCACACCACCGCCAACCCGCCCAAACATCCGGAGAGCCGACAGAATGTCTCCCACCCCCTTCGGCGCCCCGATGCGCCAACAATTCCTCCTCGACCCGAACTATAGAAACCTAAACCACGGTGCAACCCACCTGTCACTCACTATAAACCCCTCCCCATCCAAAACTAATATATGATCCCCAGGGTCCTTCGGCACCTACCCCCACCCCCTCCTCGCAACCCAACAAGCCTACCAGCGCCTCGCCGAATCCTCCCCCGACGAATTCCTGCGCTACACGCAACCCACCGCGCTCCTCACCGCGCGCCACGCCCTCGCCTCCCTCCTCAACTGCCCCGCAAAGGACCTCGTCACCGTCAAAAACGCAACCACCGGCGTCGCCACCGTGCTGCACAACCTCGCCCCGCACTTCGCGGCCGGCGACACGCTCATCTACTTCTCGACCATCTACGGCGCCGTCGAGAACGGGCTGTTCTCGCTGCTCGAGCACCTCCCGGCCCCCAACCTGCGGCTGCGGAAGATCGAGTACGCGTTCCCGATCACCCAGACCGAGCTGGTGCAGCGGTTTCGGGAGGTGGTGCGCGAGGTGCGGGCGGAGGGGTGCACCCCGAAGATCGCGGTGCTGGAGACGGTGGTGAGTGTGCCGGGGGTGCGGTTTCCGTTCGAGGAGATTATCCGGGTGTGTAGGGCGGAAGGGGTGTGGAGTCTTGTGGACGCAGCGCATGGCGTGGGGATGATTGAGTTGGATCTGGGGACGCCCCTCCCGGATAAGGGCCAGGATGGGCTTGAGCTTGGGCCAGAGCGGTTGGGCAAGGTCGGGGGCGTGGATTTCCTGACGAGTAATTGCCATAAGTACCTTCCCCCCCACCCCCCCACCTAGCTTTATTGTTCCGGAGGGGGGCAGCTGCGCACCCTACCCCACAATACTTACAGATCAGAGGAGCGTATTGCTGACAGCTGGTGCGCAGGTGGCTCTACACCCCCCGCAGCGCGGCCCTCCTCTACGTCAACCCCTCCCTGCAGCACCTCATCCGCACCACCCTCCCCACCTCCTGGGGGTATATTCCCCCTCCATCCGAGACGCCGGCGAAACCCTCGCTGATGGCGAGTGCGGGACGGAAGACCGCGTTCGAGGCGCTGTTCGAGTTCGTGGCGACTGCCGACGATACGCCGTATCTGTGTGTGCCTGCCGCCCTGAAGTTCAGGGAGGAGGTGTGCGGTGGCGAGGGGGCGGTTTATGCTTATCTTGAGGAGTTGGTGAATGAGGGGGCGGATTTGGTGGCGAACGGGTTGGGCACGGAGGTTCTTGGGGAGGGGGATGCAGCAGGTAAAGAAAAGGGGAGGAGTGCGTGGAGGAGGTGTGCCATGAATAATGTGCGGTTGCCGGTTAGGGTCGTGCAAAAGGTAGGAGGGGAGGAGAATGCCCCCGGTCTAACAGCGGAGCTCGTCCCCGCGGTGGTGGATTGGATGCAGAGGAGACTGGTCGAGGATTACCGCACCTTCGTGCCCGTCTTTGCCCATGCCGGCTGGCTGTGGGTGCGCTTGTCGGCCCAGGTCTACCTCGACAGGAGCGATTTCGAGTGGTTGGTCCCTGTGCTGAAGGAGTTGGTGGGTCGCGTCAAGGAGGAGTTTAAGCTTGGAAAGGTGTCGCATCTGTAGCAGCAGATGCAACAGATACAACAGACTACATGGACTAAGCCCATACTTCAACAAATTCTGCAATGATATACAACTACGCGAATATATGCAGGCCGTAGTAACAGCATCACAAACACAATCAAGTACCAGCAGAAAACACGTAACTCGCAAACCCAACTACCCCCCGCTCACGTCTCAATCAGATCCGCAGTCTCGCCCTGGGTCTGCTCCGCAACACTGTTGTCTCGCGTGTCCTTGTTGGCGATCTTGCGCGCAGACCGCGCATAGAACTCATCCAGCACACGCTTGGGGATACGGTTGAGCAGGTCCTTGGGGTAGATCCGCAGCAGGTTCCACGCGATGTCCAGCGACTCGAAGATCGTGCGCGACTCGTACGGCGACTGGCTGATGAAGGTCCGCTCGAACTTGTCCAAGAACTCCAGCGAGAGCTTGTCCTCGGAGGAGAGGGCCTCCTCACCGACGACAGCCTTCATGGCGGCTAGACACACAAGTTAGCTATAGCCACACCTCAACACAGCACACAAACTTACCAGCATCACGACCAATGGCGTACTTGGCGTACAACTGGTTGGACACATCCGAGTGATCCTTCCGGGAACGGCCCTCACCAATAGCCGACTTCATCAGACGGGACAGCGACGGCAGCACATTGATGGGCGGGTAGACACCCTTGTTGTACAGTTGACGGTCAATGAAGATCTGTCCCTCCGTGATGTAGCCAGTCAAATCGGGAATGGGGTGAGTGATATCTGCAATCCATCAGCAATGGTCCATCTGCATACGCACCACCAGATAAGCAACTGACCGTCGTTAGGCATCGTCAAGATAGGAATCTGTGTGATGGATCCGTTACGGCCCTCCACACGACCAGCACGCTCGTACAAGGTCGACAAGTCAGTGTACATGTAACCGGGGTAACCACGACGACCCGGAACTTCTTCACGAGCAGCCGAGACCTCACGCAGAGCGTCACAGTAGGCAGACAGATCAGTCATGATGACCAGGACGTGCTTCTCCAGCTGGTAGGCATAGTACTCGGCCGTGGTCAGCGCAAGACGAGGGGTGATGATACGTTCAATCCTGGACGCTGGCTGTCAGTTCCGCACGCACACACGTACACAAAACCAATCACATACGTAGGGTCGTTGGCCAAGTTCAGGAAGAGCGTCACGCGCTCCATACTGCCGTTCTCCTCGAAGTCGCGGGTGAAGAAACGGGCCGTCTCCATGTTCACACCCATGGCGGCGAAGACGATGGAGAAGTTCTCCTCGTGTCCGTCGTGGACGTCCTTGGTGGGGCGCTTCACCAGACCAGCCTGACGACAGATCTGGGCGGCGATTTCGTTGTGTGGCAGACCGGCGGCAGAGAAGATGGGGATCTTCTGGCCACGGGCAATGGAGTTCATCGTGTCGATAGCGGAGATACCAGTGGAGATCATTTCCTCGGGGTAGACCTGGAGATCATCGGACGCATTAGCCACCGGGGATGTGCATGTCGCGGGACAAGGGCGGAACTCATACTCGGGAGTAAGGGTTGATAGGTTGGCCGTTGATATCCAGGTAATCCTCCGCCAGCACCTTGGGGCCCTTGTCAATCGCGCGACCGGAGCCATCGAACACACGACCCAGCATGTCTTCGGAGACACCGAGCTTCAAGCTGTGACCGGTGAACTCGACTTTCGTCTGAGGCAAGTCAGTATGGTGGTTGACTCAGAGTGTAGCTGGATGACGGCGAAGTACCTTCTTAACGTCGATGCCAGACGTGCCTTCGAACACCTAGTATGACCGCATTCCGATGTCAATATTCCGTCCGATAAATCCACCTCCCATACTCTGCACTCGAAAAGTCCGCACCTGAACGACTGCTCGGTTTCCTACAGCAAAGGTAAGACACATCAGCGGATCTGATCGTTATCTCATTCATTCATCCATCCACACCTCACATACCTCGAGCTTCCAGAACCTGACCCGACCGCTCGGTCCCATCAGGGAGGGTCAAAGACACGATCTCATTGTAACGGGGGAATTTGACCTAAGCCATCGTGGATTAGCTGGAATTCCCTTCCCCGATATACTTGGGGTCGGCCGAATGACGTGCCGATGGATTCGGGGTCGTACATTATCCAGAACGACCAGCGGTCCGTTGATACCTCCAATGGTGTTGTAGCGAATGCGAGGCTTGACGCTGGTCATCCGGGGGTCGACGAAATCGGCCATGGTCGAAGAGTCCACCACAAGGTGCTATTAAACCAAAGACGATGGAGACACAAAAAAGGGAGGGGGGAGAAAGTGGGAGAATGCGGACGAGGGGGGCGGGACTGAGGGGAGAGGAACAGACAGCTCCTGGTGGTGGTCGGGAGTGTCGACGTATGCTTAGGCTGGAGCCCGTCAGTTTGGCTGGTTTGCCCCGTTTGGCTCCACGTCCTCCGGGGGGCGGTGTGGAACCTTGCCACGTGATGCTCTCTCGCCTACGATCTATAACTTAGTACAAAGACTTAGAAAGTCGTGGTGATGCCAGATTACAACCAAGAATACGATAATCAGTCGTGTTCTTGCAGAGAGATAGTGAAACTAGTGACTCATACATCCCACAAAGCCATCTGCGGCCGCCATAAAATGTCCCCATCCGTGCTAGGCTGCACAATCGAGTCAGATAATAAAAAGAACGCCAAGCGAAATGAAATCATCAGATCAGCTCGTCATGAATGTCATACTGATACAGCTAGAGAAAAGAAAAGCATCCACGAGAAAAGCAGGCTAGAATCGTGAGATAGATACGCCAAACCGCCGTCAAACCGTCATGGTATCGTGTGCAAAAACAAAGAACGGAGAAAGCACATGGAGAAAGGTCAAATTGCAGTCATTCAGTCCACTTTGGCCAACGCTAGCTTCTTGGGCGTCGTTAGATTGTTGGAAAGTCGGACGTTCATCTTTTTGTTCTTGGTTTGTTTCTTTAGCTTCTTGCGGGCCACCATCACCGGTACTGATGAGTGCATGACCAGGTAATTCGAAAATGATCCGAGGACCACCCTGTTGTAAACAGTCTGATTAGTTTGCAGCCCATGCAGGTCGATCGCAGAGTTCTTACCCTTTGAGTGCACTTCGTCCTCTGGCCCCAACAATTACCAGCGTAGGTTCCAATCCATCAATCTGAAAACTCGGTCAGCAACTGCGTGCACCTCGGAGCAGGATCAAGCTTGACTTACAGCTTCAGTGATCATGTGCTTCGGGCTCTTGCAATGAATCACCTCTACCGCCACGCGCACCTGCAGTAGCGTCTTTCGCAAGAGACGCACGCACGTCTGCGAAATGACCTCCACCGCCCGTACGCGCTCGGATTCTGCCTTGGACATGCCTCGTGCATCGACCGAGCCCGGTTTGCTGTCCGTGCCGGTCCCCAGGCGATTGAAGAAGGTTCGAGGGAGGTGCGAGCTGGAATCATTCTGGGATTTCGCCGCCGTCTCGGCCGTTTGCGAGCCGACCACCGCAGCAGCATCCTGCATGGCTTTGGCCCCATCCCCAATCTGCACGGCTGCCGGAGTAGCGGTCTCGTCATGCATGGCACAGACCGCAAACATCGTATCGCCGTCCCGCAGAATGGTACCAATTGTCCATTCCAGAGCATACACCGATTCCTCACTGAGGTCCGTCGTCACTAGATACTTGCGCTGGCGGCGACGAGCCCCTTCCTCTTCGTGTATGCTGGGATAGTCGCCGCGGATGATCGTCCGGATTGATCGGTTGTGCACCGAACTATCAATCGCAGACATTTCAATGCTGAGTTTCTGAGCGCGTTTGATGTCGCACAACTCTGCCTCGTCCTCCGAGCCGAATGGGGTGTTGGTCGCTGAGGCGGAGTCGAAGCTCGTTCGGGGGCGGACATCAGGCTTCGAGACGGGGCCTGTCTTGGCTGAATGGATGAACTCAGACTTGCCTGTGGAGTTGTTGCTGGGTTCTGCAGCTCACAATCAGTCAGTGTAGTGCAGCGGAACAACGAGGAGAGAACGTACGAAATGCCGGAGCCGTCTTTGTTGTCGTGCGCGGAGCGATCCTGGCAGGCTCATGGTCGACCGTCTCTTTCCGTCCCCGTTTGTTCTCTTCCGACTCGCGATCTGGGCTCTCATCATCGCTGGAAGACATTTCGTCACCGTCCTCATCACTGGTCTCGATCGGATTGTTCTCGCTGTCGTAGTGGTCCTTTTCGAGCCGCTGCTCTCCGGGAGCCGAGGAATTAGCATCCGCCTCTGGCGGGAATTGAGGAGCTGGTGGAGGCTGGACTGCTGGCTGGGATGTTGCTGGAGGGGTCGGAGGAGGAGAGACCTTCGGGGCGCTCCCAATCGCCACACTCTCTTTTGGCTTCTCGTTGGGGGTTGCTTTCAGCGGTTCTTTAGTGCTTTCTGTAGGCTTCTCGGCCTGTTTCTCCTTAGACGACTCCTTACTCTCTTTCAGCTTTTCCATTGGGTTCTCATTCGGGCTCTCCTTCGGGCTCTCAAGTATAGGCTTTGCGGTATCGACCGACTGATTGCGTGAACCGGGGCTCAGCCAGCGACGCTTTGGCGAACTGGAGCGGGTCGAGCGGAGCGCCGGCGCTCGCGAGTCAAGCGAGTTGCCTCGGGATGAGGAACTGCGGCCAGAGTCCCGACCTCTGACAAAGCTCGGGAACCCAACCTTGATGTCGAGGCCTGACATCACGGCGGCCATGCTTGGCAGACGATTCGAGGAGGAAGCGGCCGGAGGCTTCTCCTGAGATTGACTGGCACGACGGGCGCTGGGAGGCATATCGAGAGAGGAATCCCAGCGAATGCTAGGGCCTGATTTGTGCGTGGTCGTGGTTGCGGCTTGGGGGCTTCCGGACTTGTCGCTGCTGTCGGACTGAACGGAGGATTTCCTCGGTGCCGGTGGTAACGGAGGAGCCACCAAAGAAGTGGTCCTGGGCGGCGGAGGGGAGGTTGTGGTCGTCGTGGTCGTAGGTGACGTCAAGGGTGATGTGGACGAGGAGGGAGGGAGGGGAGGAGGTTTAGAGGAAGTGGTGGGAGATGGTGCAGTGGAAGTGGTGGGGGTCGAAGAGCGGCGGGGAGCAGAGGTAGTAGTGGTGGTAGTATTGGAAGCGGGATAAGAATTGTAGTGATGGTGATAATTGCGGCCCGAGGGGGAAGTCACGCCCACTCCAATGCCGGCGATGGAGCCATGCCGGGGAGGGACAAAGCCTGGACTGGGAGCGATGTCCAGCATGCTCCGGCGCGGGTACCAAGAGGAATTAGTGTGGTTGCCTTCCCCCGACTCCCGCAGTAACTCCCGTCGTTCTTCCTCCAGTGCCGTCTCTAACGAGATGGGCGCAGGTTTTCTACTGTAGTACGGCATGGTGACGGCAGATGAGCACAGGTGAGCACGAGTGCACTGGGTTCACCGGATTCACCCAGTCCTTTTGATCTTTCTATTCAGTTCTTATTAAAGTGTGTTCTGTCTGTCTGTCTGTCTGTCTGTGAGATTATTATCTGGCAGCAAATAAGTTAACTGACGGAGACACCCAAAAACGGAGGGGGAGGACGGACCGACTGGGATTGAGAGAGACACACGACTAATCCGTAACGGGCTTCGGAATGTGGAGTTGAGCGACGATCATCGGCCGAATGAGCGGCGCCAAATCCAGGTAAGGGGCGGCAAGTCACTTTCCAAATCCCCAGATTTCGCTTTCAGCTTTCCCCGTGATCGGTGACAAGAGCTTGAGCAAGCTGTGGCAACAGCACAGCACGGCAGCAGCAGGCAGCAAAGCAGCAACTCTGTCCTCTTTCACTTTGCGGAACCGTGATGCGGAGGAACAACAACAACAACAACAACAACAACAACAACAGGAAATGGCACGAATTATAGATTAAGCGGGCGGGCTTGGGAGATCCCCACGTGCAACGAAACGGCTGCAACTGCCGGCGATCGCATCGGTCGCGACCAGCCGCGGCCCAGGTTCTGGCTGAAGCTGAGGGCCCTTCCTTTGTTACAGGTCGCGGTGGACGTATCACAAACAAAAGCAACCAAAGGGAGTCGGGCGCGTTCACGAGCTCTCCCCAAGGATAGGTAGAAGGTGGAAGTGAAAGTGGAGGAGGGGAGCGGGAACAATAAAGAAGAAAACGAAAGAAGAGGAGAAGATGGATGGTAATAGTCGAGCACAGTCCACTCTGCCAAGTCAATCACAGGGAAAAAGGAATCGAGGAATGACTTGACAAGTTGACAGTTAGTCCCAAGATCGACTGGGGATTCGAGGGAGCTTAAGAGGACCAAGACGTGAGCAAAAAAGCTCGGCCAACGAAAACTGCAGCTGAGCTCGTCAGAAAAAGCTCGGCATGGCGGGGTATCACCAACAAAGTAAGAAGAATTGGGGAAGATGGGAGAGGGGAGAGGGGGCGAGAGAGAGAGAGAGAGGAGAGGAGTGGAGAGGAGAGGAGAGTAGAAAATAGGCTGATCAATTTAACTCAATACTCAGTAACTCAGTAACTCGATTCACACAGCCAGATAGACCTATCCCTTGCATGAGAGCTTGACTGCTTGACTGCTGGACTGCTTGACTGCTGGACTGCTGGACTGCTGGACTGACTGTGCCATACATCGTACTCCATACCTACCTAATACTTAACTCATACTACTGCACACCACGGAACAGACTGAGTATTCTTACCTACTGTATAAAGAGTTGTAAAGTGTCACCGCAGCCCTCTTGAGAAACTCGAACCTGGAATGTGCATTGCATGCAGGCGACCGAACTGCTTATTTGTGCTTGATCAGAGCTCGAACCAGGGATCCAACCCAACCCATCAATCAGTCAGTCAGTCAGTCATTCATCACATTCCATCCCCCTCCAACCACCGCCCATCGACCCGTCACCCTCCAGCTGAGTTGGTCGAACGATCGTCGTCGCAGCGTCAGTGTCATCTCATGGGTCAATCTTTTTCCATTTTCGACGCCTCTACAGCCTTCGTCCCTGATGTTACATTTACATTCGGTGTCATTCCAAATGGCAAAAAAAGCATTAATACATGCATGATAGCGGAAGAGAAAAAAAAAAGCAAAAAGAAAGAAAACGCAACACAACCACACCACAACGGGCAAATAGCTGCCACCCCCCCCGAAATGGATGATGCATGCTCGTCGCTCGACAGATCAATAAAAAAGAATAGACAGACCCAACGCCCATATTTCGCCAGTGTATCAGACGATGGATGCATCTTCCGACTCCCCAAACCGTTTTGAATATGCAGACAAGAAAATAGAGACCCGACCGCTCCTCAGTCCTTCCCCCACCCCCCTCCCTTCCCTCTAGGCATCTGTTTTTCTCTTCTTCTTGGCTGTCTTTCGCGCTGCAGTAGCTGCAAAGGCCTCCTCCGGGGGTTCGTCCATCTTGGCCCCCCGCTTTCGACCGGGTTGGCCGTACTGCTGCTCCAACCGATCGAAGAACGCCTCCGCCCGCGTGGCCTGCCGTTGCTGAATCATCTTCAACAGCTCGTTGTCCCCCATCGCACCATCGTTCTTTTTAGAGGTCTTCTTGCCGCCCTTGCCGTTCTTCTTGCCAGACTGCTTCTCCTCGACCTCCGCCGCCAACGCCTCCGCCTCCTTGGCCTCCTTCAGGGCTCGTTTCACTCGCCGCTCGCGCTTCTTCGCCGGCTCCTCCACGTAGCTCTTGTGTTTCTTCGCGCGGCCTTCCGCGATGGCGCGGTCGATGATGGCCCGGAAGCGCTCATCGTCATCCAGGACATTGCAGAGCAGCACCGACTCGTAGACCTTATCCAAGTCCCCCCGGTAAGTGTCATACGCCGCCAGCACGTCGCGCGCCTCCTCCTCGGAGCCCTGATACTCGTGCTTCAGCTTGTCGATGGCGCTGGTGTCGATGGCGCTGGAGAACTGCTCGCGGTAGAAATCCGCCCAGTTGAAATCCTCGTCGACGTCGACCGCCTCGCTAGTGCTGCCGGTCAGGTCGTATCGCTCGCGGCGCTTCCCGTCGGAGAGGATGGCGTAGGCGAAAGCAATCTGCTGGAACGTCTTGTTTGCTTCATCTCGCTCGTCGGCTGGGACCTTGTCTGTGGCAGTGGGAAAGAGGTTCGGTTAGGGTCGGGCATAATTGCGGTCTATTGATGTGAAGAACTTTTCAAACATACCAGGATGGTGCTTGAGTGCCTGTTTCCGATAGGCCGACTTGATCTGGTCTGCGGTAGCATCGTTCGAGACGCCTAGGATCTCGTACAGGTCGGTCTCTGGGCTGGGAGGTTCGGGAGACTCGCTGTCGCGACGAGATCCAGGAGACTCGCTGTCGCGTAGTGATTCGGGCGACTCGCTTCTAGGCGGAGGCGCCTGAGCTTTGCTCTTGCGAGGCATTAGGAAGATTTCTATCTTGGCTTAAGTCGCTGCGAGAGGGAAGCAGAGCAGAAAACAACGAGGAACGTCAATATGTCTCGCCAGAAGAAAAAGTGAAGTGGAAGAACGATTCAGTCAGACGCGCCACGCGGACGCGAATCTCCGGTCGGAAACCATTAATTATCAACTTTCGGAAGGCGGTAGGCCCTGGCTGTAGTGGCAGAACCTCATAGCAAGTCTGACCGCCTTCTATCGATAAGGCCCCCTCAATTAGGTTGTTTAGAGCTTCCCCCGCGCTGATGCGGTCATTCATAGCTGCTAACGTTAGCTAGCTTGAGCTCAGCTTCAATCCATCCATCTCCCCGCCCAAAGAAACCATACTACACCACCAACCACCAACCACTCAACACAAACCCCACGCACTCCAGATACCGACACCAAACTCAACACCCCAACCACCACCGAAACCAAAAAAAAATGCCCTCCCCCCATCTCAAATACATGCGCGCCTGCCTCGCACTAGCCGAGAAATCGCCCGCGCGACCCACCAACTTCCGGGTGGGCGCGCTCCTCCTCTCGCGCCACGAAGACGACACCACCCTCGAAAAAGACGACCAGCTCCTCGCCACAGGCTACACGATGGAGCTCGACGGCAACACGCACGCCGAGCAATGCTGTCTCGCCAACTACGCGGCCACCAAGAACGTCCCCGCCGACCGCGTGGCCGAGGTGCTGCCGGACGAGCCCGACCGGAAACTGGTCATGTATGTCACGATGGAGCCGTGCGGGCGCCGGCTGTCGGGGAATGCGCCGTGCGTGCAGCGGATTATCCAGACGTGTGGCGCGGGAGCTGGAGCTGGAGCTGGGGCTGGGGGAGGCAGGCGAGGCATCCAGAAGGTGTACTTTGGGGTGAAGGAGCCGGGGACGTTTGTGGGGCATTCTGAGGGGTGTAAGCAGCTGACGGCGGCGGGGATTGAGTGGGAGCTGGTGCAGGGGCTGGAGAGGGAGATTTTGACGGTGGCGACGGCGGGGCATGAGAATCGGGAGGAAGAGGTGCGGGCGGCGATGGAGACGGTCGAGACGAATATTGATGATATCAGTGCGGAGGAGCGGAGGAGGCAGGCGCAGGTGCCCAGGAACCCGAAGAAGAGGGTTATGGAGGCGGATTTGATGGGGTGATTGGTTTGCTGGCGGCGGTGGTGTGGGGTAGTGGTTGCGTGTCAAGTACTGTAGATGAATTGATGATAACGTGTATATATGTAGATCGCAACGATGATTGTCTTGTGCAAGAGTGCTGGTGAGGATGGATAGGGCTCGGTCTGGTATGGATCAAGCAGGCGATAACCTTTTAGAGGATGGAGAGCGATAATATGGTTCTGTCACCGGCCTGTCATTTCTCGTGTAGATCTCATCAAAGGACTACTTCGATCCTGAAGAATAATATTGTAACTGCAAGGTTGACAAACTCCTTCACCAAGGACTTGACTCTCTAAGAAGAAGAAAATTGACCACTTAGGCGATACAGCAAAGAGCCAAGATTAGAGCTATCTTTAACGCGGCGATATCTACACTATAGCCAAGGCCTCTCCATACAAGACCAGAAATGCCCATCAGCTATGTCCATCCAAGAGCCGTCTAACATCAATATCACGTAACATATCCCCAAGCTCTTTCCTCAAATCCGCAGACATGTTCTCCTCAAACCAGAACGCCCATGTGCTCCGCGTATTGATCTCGAGGTTATCCCGACTCGACTTCAGACCCAGATGCTGCAGCTGCTGCGGCCTTCACCTCGCTCAGATGAGCGATCAGAGCGTCGACCTGGTCGCGAGGAAAAACCAACCCCTGGGTATAGCAGCCGTGGGCGTTTATCTGAACAACACCGCCTAGGGGCATCAGACTGTATTTGCCGACCATGTAGACCAGTCCAATCAGAGCCGGGAGTCTGACGAAGGAGATTGCCGATGGTTGGGTAATCGAGGTAGGCGTGACTGGACGGGTAGGAGCGGCGGACGGCCATGAGCGCGGCGAGCAGTGACAACGATGCCCCGATGAAGATCCAGCCCATGTTGCGGTAAGCAAAGTCCGCAGAGGTCCAGCTTAGCGCTGTCTCCGTGAAGAAGAGCCGGAGATAGACCCATGGTATGTTTTTATTGTTGTGTTTGAGCTCCTGGATTCGAACGATGTCCGAAAGGCCCTTGGAGGTCTTGGCCATCCAGCCGTCTGCTACGATGATATCGTCTTCGAACATCGCGAGATAGGTTGCATTAGTGATCATGCAGGCCTCGAGCGCGTGGATAAGGTCACTGAGAATGGAGAAAATTGTCAGAGGATTGCTCATCGACATGCTCCCAGTCGCAGGGAGGGTTGATGACTAGGCAACAAGCAAGATAACTCACTACACTTCCTTCTCATAGAAGTTCCGCACCTTTTCCAACTCCTGTAGGTGTTGAAACTGATTCATGGAAATGTTCGGGTATGATCCAACGTAATCCGCAAGTCGATGCACCCAGTTCTGTCCCCAGCTCGGATGCTGGCTGGGATCCGTGTTTACGAAGATGATGTTGAGGAAGAGAGCACGGCGCTCCAGCGGAGTCAATCCCTCGAGCAGAGACCCCATCGAGGCTTCGAGGTAATGCTCCTCCTCGCGCCTCACGGTCAAGAAGACTGCGCAGATCAACGGGTTCGATCCTGCTCCCGTGTAGGAGGTGAAGTTCTCTGCAAGGGTGTTGTGGTTGGTGATCAGGGCCTCGTGTTCCCGGTAGAGACTGTGTCTTCATTCGTAGACATGGCGGTCATTGAAGAAGGTCGAATGAATATCTCGCTAGAACCGAGTTCGACAGTAGTGTAAGCAATCAAACAGAGGAGTGCGCTGGCCAGGTGGACTTCGATGGCGTTGAATCGTCGGAGTTCTCGAAGTGAGAGGGACGTCAGGCTGGATTGGAAGGTTTGCATGGTTGATGAGCGGCCAAGCTACGGCCTGATGTTGACAAGAAAGAAGAGAGATGAAAGGAAACACAGTGGGCACCCATGTTAAGTAATGAGACTAATCCTGCCTGTCTGCCTAGGCTGTAATTCATATAGATTTGCATAGGATGACCAGGGTGTATGATTGCTTTTCTCCACAGGCTTAGCACCGCACCAGAATATCTTTTGGTATTATTGCTTGATACGAGTGGATATCATTGACTAGACAGACAGCAAGTGTCAGCTACCATTGCCTTCAATGAAAGAGACAGGAGACAGAGTCCAACTGTTACACAGCGAGTAATGGGATGAGGGCTCATGAGAGTGTGTCCAAGACGCCCAAGGGTGTTTAGTCTGGGAACCCACCCACTACATTGACTTGGCAGATCCTTTATGACCAGCTGCTCAGGCTGGGCAGTGCAAAGTTCTTATACATGTCTGTCTAGGCAGATTTAGTCATTCCAGACATCTCCAGGCCTATGATCTTGCCATTCCCCAACCAATGCATAGGAGACGGAGTTCCCCCACGCCACTCGTCTAGAAGTTCCCTGGAGATCGTGGCCATGACACCCAATTTGCCGTAGGGTATGGTTCGCTTGCTCGCATTGCTTTCTAAACTTTAGTTCATGCTCTGAGACAAAGTGGGGCGCCATCCCCAGGGTCCAGAAGATGACTGGCTCTCCCCACAGACTATTGCATCCGACCCTTCACTAAGGGTGACACGATGTGTGTGCAGCCCTATAAGAACTGCCATAGATCCCTGACCAGGCATCAAGCGCGTCCACCCCTGCTAGCACAGTTGATAGTGGCTGTAGCACCTCGGCTTTAGCTAACGCAATAACACATGGAAGAAGGTCCCTAGCTCTGTTTAACGGTTAAGCCTTTCGTCGCGGGACCAGAAGTTGTAACCACGTCCTGAAATACAATGTCCACAGGCTGATCATGCTGAATCCCCAGAGAAAACTTATAGCCGGGCCATGATCTGCACCAGCCCGTCTCCGGCCTGGCACGTCTCTATGCCCGCCAGCACGATTTCCGCTTCCTTGCCCAGTCTAGCGGCCTCTGCTCGGGTCTCGTCACTTGCAACCGTGGTGATGATCATCGCCTCCCACATCTCGTAATCGAACCTCCCATTCCCGAGAAGGCCGAGGTTGGTAGCGATGCATCCGTTGAAACAATCGTCGTTCTCTTCCGTCAAGCATGTTTCTTGGAATCGGACAAGCAGAGCTAGCAGCTCCGTTGATGCTGCGTTGTCGATGGGAGCTCTCTCATTAACTTGCCAGGATCTATCTCCTGTTCTGTGATGCTGAGCTGAGGCGTGATTATTCTTTGGATTTCTTAGCATTCTCCATTGCACTGTGTCGTGTTGAGATGCAGGGATCGCTCTCACTCACCAGTGTAGCCGCGACGAGCGGAATTGACATGAGGAAATATACAAGACCCTTCATCTTGGCTTGCGAGGTCTTAAGCCCGGTAGAACTTGATAAGATGCAGGACTCGAGATATGCTGCGAATTGTTCGTGCTTGGGTTCAATCGAGTAGCCCCTAAAGAACCTTCAAGGGGCGCCGGTAGATTTTCGAACGTTCATGCTCTTTGACATGCGAATGGTTCCCATGGTTCCCTCTGCCAGGCTATTGCGCTGCAATGCGACTATCCGTATGTAATATTGCTTTCTCGCTGGATATCATGCAAGGACAACGTATAATTCAGAATGAATGGAGTAAGGATCGTCAGGGCGTGGCTCTTGACATCGGGCCGACTGGTCATGGAGGATGATCATCAATGCCATTGTTGATCGGTGGGGTGGAAAGCTTGTTTGAGCTATGCGTGGTATGATGGGGCATGTGAGCAAGCTGGGAATGTATGTGTCGATGAAAGCTCAACAAGCTATGAGTATATGTGAGTCAACAAAAGCCCAACAAGTTGTGGAACCATTGGGAAGTGGCAGAAGGGCCAGCAGATCTGTTGATGAATCGGTCAAGGGCCAGCAGATCTTTTGATGGCATCGCAAGCAAGCTAAAGTGACGGTGTCCGGTATGGCGGGTCATTCATTTGCAATGTTCATGAAGCAAGTCTGGAGCTTATATTTGGTTTAGAATGAAATATGAGTGGTACTAGCATGCGAATCGGACAACAATCGCAATGCGATGTGTGAACTCTCCCTTTACATATCCGTGCATCACTTCATCCCTCCCTACTATGAGACGAACTAGAACCGGGACTTGGTGCGTATTAGCTCTCACACCAAGAATAAACCACCATTTCCACACCAACAAACTAATATTCTCTCATTTCCCCAAGGTTGAAGCACCGACTACAAACAGGCGACGTGGCAGCATCATCATCACACGTGGAGAACGCGGAGGGCGACAGAGAGGAACCATCCCCAGATCGCAAAGCGACATGACGTCGTTATCGACCATGCATTCCCCGATCGATCCAGCCAACATCCACTCATGATTCCTTTAAATAACTCACCACCTGGCCCAGAACACCACCTAGCTACCCCCCTCCCCTTGAAAACATTATTCTACAGCATCTTTCCAACACCACAACCTGACCCGACAAAATGCCGTGGTCCACCGTCCTGCCGCAGGCAGTCTTCACCTCCCCGCTCCTCTCCGTCGCCGCCCCCATCGCCGCCGGCACATTCATCGGCTTCCAGACCAACAGTAAGCCCTCATCGCATCAACCCACCTGCACAAACCAGACAATTAAACCAAGCAGCCAAACTCTACCTCAAATCAATCACTGACAAGACTCAACAGAACAATCCCGCACCAAATCCGTCTACCGCAACCTCCAAAAACCCCCCCTCTACCCACCCGCCTGGCTCTTCGGCCCCGTCTGGACCATCCTCTACGGCCTGATGGGCTTCGCCGCGCACCACGCCACCGTCACCGGCACCACCGTCTCCCCGCTCGCCTCCGCCCCCCTCCAGGAATGGACGGTCCACTCGCAGGGCCTCTACGCCTCGCAGCTGCTGCTCAACTACCTGTGGATGCCGCTGTTCTTCGGGCTGCGGAAGCCCGCCTGGGCGCTGGCCGACATGCTGCTGCTGGGCGGCAATGTCGCGGCCCTGATGCACTCGTGGTACCAGCACGACCGCCCCGCGTTCTGGATGCTCGTGCCCTATGCGGCGTGGCTGGGGTTCGCGACGTACTTGAATGCCGGCGTCGGGGTGTTGAATCGGTGGACGATTGGGGAGGGGCAGGGAGAGGGAGAGAAGGAGGAGTAATTGGACTGCCGACTTACTACTTACTACTGAGTATCTTGATAACACTCAGTCCTGATTCCCTAATAAAGATTCCCGGGGGAGAACCCCGGACCCCCCTTTCTTTCAGCTACCCAGTAACACTCAATCTTGACTCCCATAATAAGAGATTCCCGGGGGAGAACCCCCGGACCCCCCTTCCTTTCAACTTCCCAGCAAAGCCATCCATAGCAAGCATTGCACAGCTCGCGATGTACTATAGATAAAATGTAGAATACCGGGAGAGACCGCCGGACCCCCCTTTTAGATCAGAAGTATCAAGTCTATAAGATACACAATAAGCACAAGCATCACCCAACATACAAATGATACAGAGTAACGGGGGAAACCCCCCGTACCCCCTCATATGAAGAACAATCGTTATCACCACGTGACCACCAATCCCCCAAACATCCCAGCCTATGTACAAGGCATCCATCCTATCCTCCATTTACCATCCCACCCCAACTCTCCAACACCTGGGAAACAAACCAAAAATGGCCCCATGGCGCCCCCCCGAACCCGATCCCCCCGAATTCTACCCAGCCTACTGCTTCCAAGCCTCCCCAACCCACTTCAGCTGGGTAAAGATGGCCGTCGCCGACGTGCGGCAGCTGCACCGCCGGCCCGAGTATCCAGGTAACTGCCACCCATATCCCATGTGCTTTGAGCTTTGTGCTTTGTGCTTTTGCAGCACAACTCGACCCTTGCCCCGTCCCCACCTTCTCAGCATCCAAACTGACCACCGAATCAATGGGGAAAAAGAGGGGATATTCTTCCACAAAAACCACCCCATCCGCTTCATCGCCGTCGCAGGCCTCATCACCGCCCGCACCGAGTACCCGCGCGTCACCGTCCTCACCCTCGACGACAGCAGCGGCGCCGTCCTCGACGTCGTCGTCCAGAAGCCTGATCCTGTCGCAGAACCCATAGCTCCAGCGGAAGCAGCGGCCGCACCCGCCCCCGCAGCCGCAGTCCCATCCGCCGTCCGCGCAACCACCCAGACCGAGCGGCAAGCGCAGCGGCACATCGCCCCTACAACCCTCCAGGCACTAGATATCCAGTCCCTCATTCCGGGCGCCCTCGCGCACCTGAAAGGCACCCTGTCCACCTACAGAAAAACGGTCCAGCTGCAGCTCGAGCGGTGCGGTCTGCTCGGCGGCGTGAACGCGGAGATGCGGTTTCTGGACCAGCGCAACCGAGTCCGGGTGGAGGTGCTTGATGCGCCGTGGGTGCTCGGGGAGGAGGAGGTGGCGCGGTTGCGGCGCGAGATGGTTGCGGAGGAGGAGAAAGGGGAGGCGGAGGTGGCGAGGGTGAGGAGGCGGTTGAGGAGGAGGGGGGAGAGGGAGGAGCGTGACACCCGGAAGATTTGGGAGAGGTGGGAGCTGGAGGAGGGGATGAGGGAGAGGGAGGCGGCTGTGGTGCGCGGGGCTGGGGTGGAGTTGATGCGGGTGCTGAGGGGGAGGAGGCTGAAGAGGGTCGGGGGGGACGATGGGGATGGGGATGGACCCAGGAAACGGGGGTGGGGAGAGTAGGATTGACTTTTTCATCTTATGTATATAGATTTACAGTGTCTTGAGGTGAGCCATGTATATAGAAGCTGAGAGGACCTTGATACCCTGCCTAAAATCAACGAAGGTTATTGATACAATGTGCCTAAAAAGACTAACACGTGGCTAAGAATGTCAAACAATCCCTCCCAGAAGCAGAGGGTCAGTCGTAAACGTTATCATCATGTCGTAACAAGCATCAAAACCACAGCGCTATCGAAACAGAAAACGCAGCGCACGCCCAATGGATATCTTTTCCAAAGCAGACAGACCAAAACTAGGCACAACAAAGCAAAAAATTTCAAATTCACCGGTATCCATATGTCTTGTAGTCGTACCCGGTGCTGCCGGTGCCGCTGATCGGGTTGCTGCCATAATAGTCCTCGTCTCCACCCCAGCTGCTCCGCTTCTTCTCCTTGTCTCGCTCCCGGATTGCTTCGTAGAGTCTCTGATCCTCGGTCTCCGGGTCAAGGTCCTTGTACCGGCGACGGTCCTCAATGATGTCTCCCGGATGCGCGGGGTTGTTTGATCTGTAGTAATACTCCCCATCGGGATATCTGCTGTTTCCGCTGTGGGCCAAGAGATCACTCTCCGAATGACGATAGTCAGTACCACCGTTGCCACCTCGCGGGCTGCGCGGCCGGGCGAAAGCAGTCGCCGGGCGCTGTGTCGAGGGAGTCCCCACGCGGTAATGAGGAACGTCCTGGCTATATGTGTCTGGCACGCGGGTGGCAGACAAGGTGGGACTGTCTCGTGGGCCAGAGCTTGTGGTGGAGCCCGCATGACGGTGCGGGCCAGAGCCTCCTTCGTCATAGACCTTTCCACCGCCGACGTGTGCTGTGTATGGTTTTCGCTGGCGCTCGATTGGTCGAGAAGGCACCTCCTTGTCCTCTTCATCGTCGACTACAGCAGCCGTCGAGGCGGTTGCTGATGTGGTATGGTATGGCTGACGCTCGCGCTCACTCAGCGAGGCAGTAGAATCCACTGAGCTCACTGAAGCCTTGTGTGCGGCCTTCTTGTGACGTTGTTCCGCAACCTGTTTTAGTTCCTCTTCAGAAATGGGAGGCAGGTCGACGCCGCAGTGTCGCATGATGAACTGGTCAACTTCTTCCCTTAGCGACAAGTTAGGAATGTCAGGGAACAGTCGTCGTGGAATTTCCTTCGGGAAGCGCTCTCTTCGATTGTCGGGATTATTGATAGGCATATTCAAAACTGCATTCTGGAAGCGCTCATACTCCTTCTCCGGATGGGCCTGAATCATCAAAGTAGCCCATCGCTCGAACCCCCGCGGAGTCAAGCCTGGAATATCCGGTCTCTCGTTCAGCTTGTTCTGCACGAGGTGATGTTCCGCCTCCACTTCGCGGAACAGTCTTGAAATGGAAGAGGTACGGTCATCGAAGATGTCTGTGACTGAGTCAGCGCAGCTAAGAGTCGGTACCACAACCCTACTAACCTTGCCAGGGATAAGGATCAGACGGTATATTGGTATCTTCGTAGAACTTTTGCAGTTTCTCAGGAGTAACAACCAGGGTGTTGCCAGGTGGATAGTCCTCGATCTATTATTGTTTGACCAGTCAGTCTCACATGCCCTGGATGTTCGTTCAGCGAATATGCTCACCAGATGAACCGCGACACCACGTAGAAGCTGGCCCAGCCTCTCTGTTGGCTTGCCCTTTTCAAACAGCTTGCCCCAGATCTTCTCCAACGTTGTCATCTCCGTCACTGTCACCTCTCGCGACGGTGCCTTTGGCCGAGAAGATTCCACACTATGGCTATGATCACTAAATTGACTCGCAGGTGAGCCGCGGCGGTCAGTTGAAGGTCCAGACGATGGACCCGGGTAGAGATGGGGACTGGCTGGGCGCCCTGTGGGCGGCACGGGCGTCGGATAGTCACTAGGATCGGAGCCGACCTTGGGCGGAGGCGGTGGAGCCGCAGCTTGGGGGACCGTGGTGGAATATGTCGATTCTCCATATGCGGGGGTAACGGATTGCGGGGGAGGAGGAGGAGGAGCCCATTGCGGCGACGACACTGACGGGTGCTGTTGATCGCCGTGCAATCCGTCCAAGCCCGTTGCTTTCAGCTGTTGTATGACCGTCGCCGTGATCTGCGACACCACATCAGGAGACAGATATGCCGGTGTATCAGCCTGGCGGAAGGCCGAGTTGACGGCCTCATTGATTCTTCCGGCAGGCGGTTGTTGCTGGGGCTGCTGCTGGGGCTGCTGCCAAGCATTGGGGTCATATGGCGGTTTGTTATAATAGTTGCCCGGCGAGGAGGGTCGGGGGGGCACCTGCGGCTGAGGGACATTCGGCTGGTCAGAACCATATTGCGCTGGGTATTGCGCTGGGTATGGAGGAGTGTATGCGGATGCGCGGTTCTCGTTGGCATTCAAATGGTTTGGGTGTGGATATTGGGGATATGAGCCGCCATTATTAGGGAAACCGTTGTACGCCATCGAATCGGGGTAGTAGGTGAGAAGCCAAAGTCAAAAGATTGTTGCCCTGCGCTCTAGCACCGGCACAGGATGATCATCGAAGCTATTCTACTGGGTTGAAACACTGAGACCGCAAGCAAAGAGGCGGGGAGGGGCTTCAGGTAGAATAACGGCAAAAGAAGGAATAGAAAGAAGACAAAGGCGAGGGTGCTCTGTGGAATGCAACGCTGGTGTGGCGAGGCGACTAATTTTCTTTCTGGTGTGTTCCGTGAGAGGAGCAAAGAATGGGGTAGAATCAAAGAAAGAAAGTCCTCGGAGTGATCGGGAGAGTGTGAGAGAAACCAAGAGGGAGTGAGACAGTGGGTTGCGTGAGAGAGAGAAAGAGAGGGTGGAGGGGAGGGGCGGCGGGCGGCAGCAGGCAAGCAGGCAGGCAAAACGGGCGGCGGATCTTGAAACAAACCGTCTAGCGAATAATTTACTCAGTACTTGCCAGTTGGGCAAAAGTCACGGGGAGAACTGACTGCCAAAATGCAAGCAGGGCAATCCTGGTGGAGCGCTCGGAAAAATCAAATCTATAGTCCGAAGTAAAATGTCAGAAGACGAAGAAAACAGCAGCAGCGAAGAAGGGAAAGATAAGAATCCTCATACTCTGCCATATGCCAATACGTCATGAAGAGTCGGCGGATATGCGGGGAAAGCAGAAAAATAATCATCGTGCTAAAACACCGTCTCCTCCCCTCCAAACAAGCAGCAGCAGCTGGTAAATATGCGAGTGACTCCTCCCCTGCTCCAAAACCCCCCGGATTCGAGGGTCGCACACCATGCCACTTCATCCTCCCACCATATTCGGATATCCTCCATGTCCATCAATCGCCTCAGTGGCTGTAGACAATTCGATGCAATGCAACTCGGGGAGGTCGTGCGTCTGTTTGTACTTGATGGGCCAATGTCTGTCAGGATCTATACCTCGAAGTACATCAAAATACAAGAATGTTGACGTACTCACCAGGGTGTGTTCTCGAGCTTTGGCCTTCGACGCCTTGTGAGCCAGATTGGTGACAACCATGGTACGCTGGTGGGCAACGGGCCGCCTTAGTCCCTGGGTAGCCCCAGGTAGGTTCCAAGGACTCTTCAATATCTAAAAATATAAAAGTAAACCATGCGAATCGAGTTGGAAGTGTCAAAGTCAGTTCTCTATTGTTGCCAGGTCAGAAAATACAAAAAGCCACGGCAAAAAAAAGCTCATCCACCACCAATCTCCCACCACGCATATCAGCTGCTGCGAATCAATATCATCTGTGCATTGCAAAAAAAAAAAAAAAAAAACAAGAGGCAGAGGCAACATGTAAACAGAGAACGAAAGAGAGAAAGACGTTAGTAGAACGATCAAGAAGCTTTCCCCTGGGTCTGTATATGTACCCCTGGTTGTACCTGGAGTGCACCTGTGTACCGGCGCGTGGCCCGCTTACAGCCAATTCTCGAGATCTTCTTCGTCTTCATCCTCGTCCGAGGCGACGATATCGTCGTTAGGCTCGGGAACACGCATGGAAGGCTCCTTGCCCTTAGGAATGCGTCTGCCCTGTACGCAGTCAGTTGGCACCAGCAGTTTCTTTTATTGTTTGATCCATCCTGCAACGTACAGGGATCTTGGCCCATTTGCCATCGGGTTTGTCGGGCTGGAGTTTCTCAGGCTCGTTGTTGAAATAATCTTCATAACGGGTCTCCGGAACTTTCTTGTCCAGAGTGGCAACCTGAAACTTCTGGCCATCAGGGCCGTGTCCCGCGTACTCGCGATCGTTCTTGCGGGCCCCGTCCTCGCCGCCAGCATTCTCGTCATCGGCACCGTCATCGAAGGAGTGGTTGTCAGCGATGTTCATCTTCTTGGCGGATTGAGTCAAAGCAGTCACTCCACCCTGGCTCTGTGCTCAAGTCAACCACGGAACGGATTCTAGAGCCCGTGTATGGAGCAACTCGATACTCACAGTTGAAGTGCCGCTGGCCGTAGCCGTAAGGTTGCCTGAGAACTGCCGCTGTCTTTCTGGCATTGGATCCACCTCCAGGGCGTTCTGAACACAGTTCAGGCATCTCTGTGTTTGGCATATACAGTCAGGCGATGTCCTGTTACCTCAAACTGGATAGATAGGTAAAAACTTACCGCGGTGTCACGATCTCCACGCTGGTTCTTCGCAAAATGATCCAGAGTCTTGGTCTTGTCGCAGATAGAACATTTGAGCTCGACGATGCATCCACCAATGCATTGGCGACAGCGGGCCTCGCATCCGCCGTCAGCGGCTCGCTTGCCCTGAAGCACGATGGCATGGCGAATGATTTCCTGCTGGCGCTTGGAGTAAGAGGCCACAGTACGGTACTTCTTGCAGCTGGCACATTTGACTCTGTGATCTTGTCAATTACACAGTCTATATCAGATATACCAAAGGCGTGTTATCCTGACTTCTCCGGGATGATGGTGTTGTTGATCCTATATCAGAGTCGCAAGAGTTAGAATGGTATATCAGGAGAGTATTCAGTCATTAGGAAGACATACCGCTCTCTGAGAGCGTCACTGTAGCCGCCTCCGTAGGCACTGGGAGCCTTTCTGCTCAGACTCATGGTTGCGGTAGGTCTTCGTGATGTCACGTGCTGTGTAGTTTACGGCTTCAGAGACAACCACGAAATGCTGAGAGGCGGTGAGAAACGAGAAAATCAGAGAGAAGAGAGAGCGCACTGAAGTTGTGGTTGTGTTAGCCGGGCCTCAGTGATGTCGAGTGAATGGAACCGTCGTCAAGGTGACTGGTTGTGTTATATTCCCCCGCTGCCAGAACCACACAGTGAATATATCCAGTCGCTCTCTGCCATCACCAGGAGTACGCGCCCAGCAGATTGTCTTGAGAAAGACAATTGTGTTAAGTGCCAGAGCACTGCCGATGAGTTGTCAAGGAGCGAGACTCAGTCTATACATCTCTGTTTTAGGAAGGTGTTAGTCAGGTGGAAGTTTGAAGTTTGTTGTATATTATCACAACCACACGCGGAAGCCCACATCAAGAACAAAACTGATGCTGTTTGGCCCCAGGAAAAGCAAGACAGTCTGCGCTGCTGACATAGATTATACATGCATGGTACATCTTCAAAAGCAAGGCAGCGACTATGCTGCCATGAGGATGCTATTGCATGGTGTTGTCGTTTGTCAATGCTCATGCGTTGCAGCCCCAGTACAGTACATATTGTCTGGGTGACACAGAACCGTCTATAGCTCAGGATACAGAGCACAAGGAGCTTTCAAAATGCCCACAGCTTACTTCTGAAACCGTCAACAACAGATCCAAAGGCAAAGGACAGTCGGCCTGGAATCCTCCCAGCCATCCCGAAGCCGTTTGCAAGAACCCAGAGAGCCAAACAGGCTGGTATGACACAACTGTCATGTCAACACCGGCGGAAAGCTCGGACTGTGCTACATATAACAGAAGGAAGATATAAGGAAAATGATGTAAGAGTTAGGCATGCAGAAGGTGAAGATGATACACGTCAAGAGCGGAATGACATCTGTACTGGGGTGGCAGGTAGATAGCTATACCTACAGTTGCTATGGCACATCAATTCCGGAAGTGGGTAAGAGGCCCCAGGTACCAGGGGGGCGCTGTCCGTCAATATGATGTCGGAGGCAAACGACGATGGACTGGATCAGGGCCGATCTGGCATGCAGCATCGCGGGAGGACTGCAGGCACCCTGGTTCCTACTGCAAAGCACAGCCGCTCATCCAGCAATCATGTTTCATCCCAGCATCCAGGGACGCCAGCTCTCATCTCGCTTGGCTAATGACAAAGAAGAAGGACCTCTTGCCTTGGATGACTGATCCAAATAGCCCCTGAACCTGCTCCCATTCGAACCAACCTAGCCGATTCCTACAAACACAGACTCATAAGCACCTAGTCCGTTGGCGAAACACACAGCGTAGCAGCTAAAGGGGAGGAATAGGGCTGGCAGTTGTCCATACGAGAAGAGACCCTTTCCGGACAGCCGTACTTTTGGTCATTGTGCTTGTGGCGAAGGTTTCTCATATGCAGGACAGAGGACTACTATAATAAACTAGTTCTCTTGGTGGAAATCCCTAGTGGCGTTCCAGAAATATGTTTAGCCGTGTCTTGCGCAGGCGATGTTCGGTTGATCCTCCATGATGCGGCGTGGAAATGGCTGCCGCAGTTCATCCGGGCCAACGGTCACTGGGAATGCAGGCCAAATACGAGCACCGCTAGGTGATCGAAAGTGTCCTTTTTTTTGTTCATCTGTTCTGCTTTTTTGCCCTACGGGAGGTATTGAGCGATTTTCTGTCCCCTGTAGATCCTTCCACTCCGCTTCCACGCAGCTGCCTTGATCCTTCTAGAACTCTCGTAGAATGCGACGGCTTCGAAAGCTATACCGTAGTAGTCCTTGGTATAATAGCTAAGGTAGCTAAGAGAAGTGATAACAGCTTAGGATAGGCGGGGCTGAAGCATTGTAGGATGCTAAGGATGCTAAGGATGGAGAAGACGGTGAACGAGCAGGCAGAGTCGCCAGCGCGGAGATGGGAGATGTTGCGACGAGACAGAAAGAGTTCCACTCCGACGACCACCACTGGTCAGCCGGGCAGGTCGGGAAGCGGAGACGGAAACTACACCGAGTGGGGATCCGCATTCCCCGAACGCCCCGGTGCAAACAGAGGCCGCCATATTGACTCCACTAGCATCCACTGTCTCCTCCCTCACACGAATCATTCTCACATTGGGACTCCACCCCCCTCTTAGGAGTCCAGGAGACTGGCAGGGTGGTGGTGTTTGGAACAGGAATGGCCTCATGGAGTCATGGTCCATGGTCCGTCCATGTTCCATGAATAATCGAGGAAGAGGAGTCAGTCAGTCCTGCGTCCCGTCGTCTAGTGCTCCGGACCAGTCAATCCACTCTTCCCTTTCTGTGCTGGTGCCCGAAGCTTTCCCAGCAATCTTATTCAAGTTTGTTCATGGTTGACTTCCAACCCTTTTCTCGACTGAGTAATCACGCCGGGCGTTTGGCTGCAGGTTTATTTGCATATACAGTAGTGCTTTGAGTGATTGCCAATAGCTCAACCCTCCTGAAAGCTGGACGCCAAGGGACCACGGATATTAGTAAGGGGAAAACCACAAAGCTCGGAGTACCTAAACTATAGTACGTACGTAGTGCCATTCAGGTGGTTTCGCAATAGCGGACATTGCTCCCTAAACAAGACAAACACCGCCAAAGGAAAACAGAGAGACAATTGTAGTCTAGAAGTCGAGTTAGTACCTAGGACAGGCGGAGTATCAAACATCAACTTGACAGGATCTAGTAGTATGCACTCCAGATTGTTCGCAGACAGCCCCTCCACGCGTCTTGCCCCTCCCCCGCCACCTTATTCTTTGATAGGAAAGAGAATGGCATGAGAAAGAGGGTCAAAAGAACGGTAAAGAAAAGAAAAGAATGTAAAGAGAGAGGAGAAGCAAAAAGACGGTGACTGGCATAGCTTCGGGGCAGAGAAGATGGGCAAGGTGAAGGTAGAGGCGGTGACTACCGTGACGGGCCGTCGACTCCGTTCCTCTCTTCCTTCCTCTGGCGCCATCCGCATAACGTTAGTTACGTTGAATGACTAGTCAACCTACTCTAAATTAGTAGGTAGTTAGCGAATCCATACTGGAATTATGATCACTCACCGTATGGTCTACGGAGGACATCGGATTTCCGCAAACTTCAATCTGGGTCGAGGAAAAGGTGGATGTTCGCTTGAATCGGAAATGTTCCCACAACCCGTCCCATCAGCCATTATGACAGCTGCTGGCTCACTGATTCCTGATGTCGCCAAGCGAAGCGTCGTTGCCTACGCCCTTACTGTGGCATGTTATCCTCGGTCCGTGACTGACTCTGTTTGCACGGTGTGGTCGCATCAGAATGTTCGAGGTTCGCAGTTAGCCGAGCAAACGAGACTAGCGGCAACAATCGCTTGGCCGGTCATGAGGTTGACAACATCACGACTACTAAACTAACGAGTTGGGTCACCCCACGGTCAGGATTAGACGAAAGCTTCGAACTGAAACTACCTCGCAGTGCCCATTCCGTCAACTAGACTATCATTCTCAAGAATGAGTTCCGTGACCTGGGTGGCGAAAAAGTCGCGAGGCAGGAGAAAGGTCAGGATCAGCCCGTAACTGTAGTAACTCATCGCAAACGATCCAGACCCTGGACAGCTGAGGATAGCTCATCGTACTTTGAACCGGACGACCGGATCTGATCTCGCAGTTTTTAGCTACAGCTGATCAACATCGCCTCATGTACGATGAATTCAATATGGTGAAGCCTAAGAACTATGCATCAAAGCATCACTCTTTCAGCTGCATACTTCATTGGCGTCAGCATTTGATCGCAGATTAGAATCCATCCAGCTGATCTGCGTGCAGCTGCGCTGGGGCTCTCTGAAGTATCAACTGTGATGGGTGCATTGGGGGTGGATCTCGCGATGCTCAATCTCCCAATGCGGTAATATGTGTTTTGCCTACTGTAGCCATGGATCAGACGCCACCCCTCCAGACAGACGTGGAAACATTTGTTCCATACATGATTATTGCTTTGAGGGAAATATCTATTGTATCATACTACGAGTCCTGAGGAGTATGCTAGCATTGGGTAACGACGTCAAACTGATTGCCTGGAGATCTAACAGGCTACCTAGTAAAGAACTCAGCCTCTCAGGGCACACTGCGCCTCCGTCGAGGTGGATTCATCTCCATAGTTCCAACTGCACGTTAGTTGTTCCATCACAAAGAAAATAGTCTCCCCGCGGAAATTGCGTCTTGTGCTTCGCCGAGCACCGGAGATGAAGTCTCGACTGATGGCGTCTGTACTGTGCAACGGTAGCCCGCCATGAAGCAACAGCTCTTGCGTCTTTTTTGTGCCTTCAATTGAACTCAAAGCAATATACCGGTAGAGACACGCAATGCTCAAGAGGGGAAACCCGCCGCCTTGCCTTACTCCAGAAGTCCCGATGGGGCACAGATGCAAGCCACTTCCATGAGTTACTCCCCGAATAACAGTAACCTAGGCGTCTGGGTGGGATGGAAGATCAGATGTTACGGACAGCGGTGCCATGGTGGCGGTCAGCCACCCTGGGTGCTCCATACTGTAGCCATACACAATACATGTCCAGCCACTGTTTGTTGCTTTGAGGATGGAGAATGAGACACTATTACCCACGGATCCAGATAGGAACCACTACCTGCATGAACTGCAACCGCGCACAAAAGTCCATCCCCATCCATTCCCGCTTAGTCTGCGGGCCTGACTCATAGGCTAGTTTCTTGTCTGCCAACTTTGAAAGTTCCCTCTGAGTTGGATGCCACCAAAAAAAAACCGGTCGACAGAATTCTGACTTGTCCACCGGCCAGTTCATACTTATAGATCAGCAAGGAAACACATATTGAACTCTTATGTTTAGCGTGGCCCATCAGTGTTTATTTTTTCCCCGTCTCCTTGGGAATTTCATAAGGCGATGAGGAGATGCACGTCCCACACACTCATCGGTCAGTATGGGAATGGGTACGTATAGTCGTTGATGGACCCGAGCTGCCACGCGAGAAATGAATGCCGCTCTCCCCCTCAATCACAATCAACCTGTCAAACTCGTGAGATCGTTCGATCCTTGAGTCCCCTCCTGGGAGCTCGACCATCCGGGACCCTGCGTGGGACGGGTGGTGGGAGTGGGATGGACCATGGATCATGGATCATGGATCATGGATCTTGGATCATGGAGCCTTGTGAGGGACAACTGCCAGTGCCATCTCTAGGCTCTATCTAGCAGCACTGGCAGCAGCACCCAGCGTCACCGAGTTTGCAGCCCAGAGGGCAAGAGAAAACGCGGCCCAACCCCTGGTCAACCCTGCTAGCGCCCGTCTAACGATCACTAGAGGCGGAGTCCAAGTGGAGCTCATTAAGGCTGGACCGTCTGAGGTCCTTGAAGGCGACTGGTATTTTACAGTCTCCGGAGCTTTCTCTAGTACTGATTCGTCCTTAGTACCTCTTGCGACTCTTTGACTGGGTGCCTCTTTTTCTCATCGCTGCCCCCTTTTGATTCGGCTGGATGCGGAAGGTTTAACCCTAGACAGTCCTTATCCAAGGGTGAACACTGTCATTGTGCGCACTCGTCAGCGTCGGATGTGATGGGATCGGTTTGCGATACATTATTTGCTCTTTGATTTGCTCAATCACTAGTGCAATCTGACTCGCCGATTGAACGGAGCGTTGCGCCGCAGGATTTAAGGAAAGGAAGGCACAGGTGATGCAGTCAGTTGGTCGCGAATGAGAAATCGAGCAGCGATGAACCGAGGATGAATGGCTAATCAACAATCGGGTATGTCCCCCGTCGTGACAATACCATACCGTCAAACTCCCCTATAGATGGGCGCACAATGGCTTTATAGTGTCTGCTGTAGTGCACAGATAAATGGATATTATTGGTTGGAGCAAGAGATGCATACCAAAGAGAGCTTAGCCCCAGGGTGGACAGTTTGGTCCTGGAATAATGACCTCCCTAAGTGAGTTTGGTTCATCTTCATTCCCAGCGCTAGAAGAGCAGAAACAGTCACTGACCCTTTTTTCCGGGTGCAGCAGATGTGTACCAAAATTACCGTATTCTCCAGATGCTGCGAGCTGCGGCCACCACAGGAAAAACAAAACATTTACCCAGTGACACGGAATGAAAAAAATAGGGAGGGAAAAAAAAGGCGAAAAAAAATAAATCACACAGGAAGGTTTCCCTTCTGCTCGACCATGATGTAATGAATTGCAGCATGAATCCACCTTTCGTTTCTGATATGAATCGAGTCGCTACTAATCAGATGGGGGTGTCGTCATATCAAAAATCCCATTCTGATCAATGTGCTTCAGCATAATCACGGGCAGGAAAGTCTTATATCATTAACAATGTGGTGATCTTGACATTTTCGGTAATTTCCCACATGCTGAGATTGCCGCCCGTTCAGGGCCCTGGCGATGAGGAACCTAGAAGAGAACCTATGAACTCCTTTCCAATTTCCCTGGTTGGAGTGGTGGACCTCTTCCGTCGCTCGACCATTCCTCGCCAGTCTTCGGAAATGGTTAGGGTAAGGTGGAGAGGATGTGAAAGAAGAGGAACGCAGCCGTTCGTTACTTTAATCCTTTCCACTGCATTCGGCTTTATTTATTTGTTTGTTTATTTTTTTTTTCTTTTGGGATTGTTGTGTCGGGAGGTTTTACTTGAGTACGAGGACTTGGGGAGGGTATTTTTGTCTCTCGCGAGCGCGCTCCATCTTATTCTTAGTAGCTAGTAATAAACCCAAACCCTCAGCATACGTACGACGAGTTTGACGCAGACAGCTTAGCGGCCATACTAGCAGTCTAGCACGTTAATGGAGCGAATGACGATGGCGAGTTTGATGAATTACTCAAGTGTCAGTCAGTCAATCAATCTCCCAGTGAGTCTCAGACTCTCAGTCCATCCAACTGGTGTATGTATCTTCTACGACTGCAGGTATGTGTATGTTTATGTGTATGTGTATGTGTACATTGTACACAGTGTATCTGCCTGTCTGCACTTGACCAGTCGCGTCCGGTCAAGTCAACACATCAATTGTCGCCTTCTTTTCTGTCTGCCTTTCCTCCCTCACTGCTCCTCTTTTCCCTCTTTTCCCTCTTTTCCCTCTTCCTTTTCCACTTCCCCCCCTCTCTTCATCCACTCTTGGAGCGCCATCAGTCCATCACCGCCCAACCCCCCAACCTCTTGTTGAGTCTGTCTTCCCGCATTAACCCTCAGCATCACCATCGCTCCATTTTCCAGGTGTGGTGATCAATCCCCGAGGGGAATGAATCCCTACGTATTTTATTCACATTCACCTTCACATATCCAAAATCGTAACACTATATCTGCAAAACAAGAAAGAAAGAAAATTCCATTGAAGAATTTAAAAACGACAATGTCCCTGTCAGCACTGTCAACCCCTCAATGAGGAAAAATAAAAATAAGAAAAAGTCATCACCTAAATTGCAAAATATAATAATTCGCACTATTATCGGTCTGGGATCTGCACCATCTCATCTTGTCCCAAAATTCGCCCCGTCGTCGACCGCTTCTTCACCTTACCTTGAAGGTCTCCACGGCCCGGACCCAAGGTCTCGCTCGTCTTGCTTGGTCTTTGCTAAAGCTGTCACCGCGTCAGGGGGGGTTCCTCTTTTTACCTCTTTCTGCCATTATTTCTGCCATTTCTTACCTTTTCTTACTACGGAGATGTACTAGAAAGAAGAAGTGTTAGACTCCTCTATTGCTTCGTTTAGTTACTCCTCCTCCTTTCCCCCCCTCTTACCTACCTAGTTTGAAGCCCACTTT